TGGGGTAATTGGGATGGGTGTGTTGGAGACAGTGAGATTGACACAGGACAGGTCAGTGTTTAGGGCTGTTGTACATAGGTCGCTATAAGTCGCAAGTGACTCGACGGCACATAACAACAACAACAAACAACAGATTGGTTAAGTCTGGTGAAAAGATGCAACTTCATACAAGCCTTTACTAATTTTTTTATCCACGCCCATATTTTATTGCTACGCATATAATTATTCATATACATTAAGTTTCATTCATGGACATAGTATTTTGGTGGGTTTTTGTTTGTTTGTTTCACACTTTCCTTCATTGATACTATGTTTCATACAATCATGTCCATACATTGTTTTCTTAAATTAATTACCACTGGGCTATGTTCACCATTACCTGGTCTTTTCAGGTGCCTGCCTGATCTTTCCCATTTCCTTTGCCCTCTTTCTCCACTCACCAAACTGTGCTAACCTGTGATTGTCTGTCCCCTTGCCTATCCTCACCCCTCTACTGCCACCCCTTCCCCCCTTGCACCTCCAGACATATTTTACTAGTTATCTGTTTTTACAATAATGGTCTTATGCAGTATTTGTCCTTATATGACTGAGTTAGTTCACTCAGCAGAATGCTCTCCAGTATCTCCCAAATAACGATGTCAGTTTCAAAACTGTTGCTGCTGACTGCTGCATAGTATTCCCTCCTGTGAAGTAAGCCTTTCCTGCAGTATCCTCTTGTGCTTGTTTGAATGACTGTCTCTAGTCCTGTCTGTGCACAGATTCCACATGACTACAGCTGGTTACTCCAGATTTCACTTCTTTAACGTGTGGTTCATAGTTTTTTATGACCCGCAGAGTTGAGCACATTTGCATAGTCAATAAAATACAGGCGACCATTTTTCTGTGATTCTTTGATCTCAGCTAAGATTTATCTGACACTGGCAATTCCTTCTTCTAGGGAGCTCTGGTGGCCTAGTGGTAAGGAGCTGCAACTATAATCCCAGAGGTGCACGGTTTGAATCCACCAGATGCTCTGCCGGGGAAGGAGGGGCAATCTCCTCCTGTACCAGTCAGATCTGATTTGATGGTACACTCACACAAAAATAATAAAATATAAAAAAATTTAAAAAAAATTCCTTCTTCTGTGGCCTCTTCTGAATCTGACTTGAACGTCTGACAGTTCCCTGTGTGTGCACTGCTGCAACCGTTTTTTAAATTATTTGGACAAATTTTACTTGCGTGTGATGTTAATAGTACTGTTCATTAATTTCCAAATCATGCTGTATTACTTTCTTCGGAAGGTGCACAGACATGTGACTCTTTCAGTCAGCTGCCTTGGTAATGGTTTTCCAAATTTCTTGATATAGAAGGCTGAGTATTTCCAGCATTATATTTGCTTGTTAAAACAGCTCAACTAGTAACACACCAATCCCTGGTGGCATGTTTTGTTGTTGTTGTTAGGTGCCTTTGAGTCACAGACAATTCATAGTGACCCTATGAATAAAAGACCTGAACGCTTGTATAACTTTCATCGTTTCTCCACGTTCATAGAGTTTCTGGAAGCAAGCTGTTTCGGAAGTGGATGCCACTCCTGCTTCCAAGCTTGTTTTAATCGGGGAGCTCCACCAAACACTGTCCCCCATGGGTAACCGTTATCACATTTGACACATCAGTGTCACAGTGTTCAGCATCACAGCCACCACGCGTTACCTCTGTACAACAAATAGACAGACCAGTGCTATACCACATAGAAGAATGTTTGACCAAAACCAATTAAAGCCAGGCCTGAGGGCCGCAAATTAAAATCATCCACCTTCGGCTTGGTAGCATCACTTTCTGTCCACTAGGCCAACAGAGCTCTCTCTATGTTGTTAAGTGCTGTCAAGTCGTAGATGACTCACAGTGATGCTAAGATGCTTTGATGGCATAATGCATATATACTGATAGCAATATATCAAGCTGCTAACTGTAAGGTTGGCAGTTCAAGCCCACAGTCACTTTGGGGAGACTAATGGACACTACTCTGCAGTGAAGACTTACAGCTTTGGAGAGCCAAGGGATGGTAGGAGGGTCCGGCTGGATGTTCGGCTTTGCTTTTGAGCATTGCTTTCAGCAAGGCTTCAAACTCTTCTTTCAAAACCATCGCTTCTATCTATCTCCTAAAGTGGTGGGTGGTGGGATATCAGTACATTCTTTTTGGTAGCACGACTCTATAGATCCCTTTTCTCTGATGCTTCCTGCACTGTTAGATATTTTGCCACTCTCCACCCATTGTACATAAACCACCGTGCTCTGTGCCTGGAAACTTTCAGCAATGTTGTTGTTGTTATGTGCCGTTGAGTTGCCTGTGACTCATAGCGACCCCCTGTACAACAACCCTAAACCCTGATCTGTCCTGTGCCAATCTTACCATCTCCGACACACCTACCCCCATTACCCCAGTCACTGAATCAATCCATCTCATAAAGGGCCTTCCTCTCCGGTGCTGTCCCTCCACCCTCCCAAGCATGACGTCCTTCTCCAAGGACTGATCCCTCCTTGAACATGTCCAAAGTATGTCAGATGAAGCCTCAGAATCCTTGCCTCCAAGGAGTAGCTTGGTTTCACCCTCTCTGGGATGAACCTGTTTGTTTTCTTAGCAGTCCGTGGTATATTCAATACTCATCTCCAGCACCACAACTCAAAGGCATCAATTGTCCTTCTATCCTCCCTAGTCATTGTCCAGCTCTCTGATGCATAGCAAATGATTGCAAAGACCATAGCCTGTATCAGGCACACCTTAGTCTCCAGAGTGACACTATTGCTCTCCAATACTCTGGAGAGGTCCCTAACAGCAGACTTTCCCATCGCAATAAGTCGTTTAATTTCCTGGCTGCTGGTGCCGAGAGTGTTGACCATGGAGCCAAGCAAACTAAAGCTGTGAACAATCTCAATCACTTCACCATCCATCCTGATGCTGCCAATTGTCCAGCAACGTAAGCACATTTAAATCTCGATTTCTTCACCCAGTACCCGTGGTTCCACAGTGGGTGTTAGGAAACATCTGAACTAGAGGTAGGGACCCCAGCACACTGGTGGGAACCCTGCATCAGGCCGGCAAGAGGTGGTTCCCAGGCCCTACTTTTGCTACTTGTCAGTCTCCACAAAGGTCTGCAAATGAAGGAGACAGTGGTGCTACCCAAGGGACCTTCTGGGTGAAGAACGTGGCCTGCTCACGGGCTGTCCAGTCTGGAGCCCACGGCCACAGGGGGCCACTGAGCATTCGAGCAACAGGACCTGGAGTGGTGCCGTTTTTTTTAGAAAAATCTGTTTTATTTTATTATGTTTTGTGTGTGTGTACTATCGAATCAGATCTGACTAGTACAGATGGAGATTGGCCCTCCTTCTCCAGAAGAGCATCTGATGGATTTGAACCACATACCAGCAGCCAAGAAATTAAAAGACGTATTGCAATAGGAGAAGTCTGCTGTTAGGGACCTCTCCAGAGTACGGAAGAGCAATGGTGACACTCTGGAGACTAAGGTGCACATGATCAGGTCTTTGCAGTCACTTGTTATGCGTCAGAGAGCTGGACAATGATTAGGGAGGACAGAAGGAGAATTGATGCCTTTGAGCTGTGGTGCTGGAGAAGAGTATTGAATGTACCATGGACTGCTAAGAGAACGAACAGGTTCATCCTAGAGAGGGTTAAACCAGACTGCTCTTTGGAGGTAAGGATTCTGAGGCTTTGTCTGACATACTTCGGACATGTTCTAAGTAGGGACAGGTCCTTGGAGAGGGACATCAGGCTTGGTAGGGCGGCGGGACAGTGTAGGAGGGGAAGATCCTCTATGAGGTGGATTGATTCAGTCACTGGGGTAATCGGGGTGGATGTGTCAGAGACAGTGAGACTGACACAGGACAGAGCAGAGTTTAGGCTAATTGTATATAAGGTCGCTAAGAGTTGCAAGCGACTTGACGGCACATAAAAACAACCTCTGGGACTGTAGTGTAGCTTCTTGCCGCATATGACCTCGTTGGGCTCCGAGGCTGCAAATCACATGGAAGAGATTACACACCGCTGTCCTGCAGAGGTGCTGGGGGGTCCACACAGCCAGAGAGCAGTGGGGCTGGCTGGGGTGAGCACCACACTCTTTACTGACTTGCCCCCAACCCCGGAACATCTTCATCTAATTGCAGCTAAATTTAAATTGTAATGACCACATAGGGCTACCATATTGGACAGCACCTCTCCAGAACATCTCGTCATCACAGAGGGTCCTATGGTCTAGAAGCTGGTCTTTGAGAGACCCTGGTGAGGGGGGTGTGTGTGTGTGTTGGGAGGGGGTACTCTGAGCTTTGTTTGTCTGACTTGAACTTCTGACCACATCACTCTTTCGTTCTCATTTCCAGGAGCAACTTCCTCTGAGAAGGATGATCACAAGGGTGAGTGATGGGGACCGAGGAGGGGAGGTATTGAACTCTGCCTCTGGGCGTCTGGGGGGCCGACTTCTCTGCTCAGCCTAGATTTTCCAGGAGCATGGGATCAAGGACTTGCTTCAGGGTTATGAGGTGGACAGTGAGCTTTGGAATCAGACAGATTCCAGGTCTACCAGTGACTAAACATGTATGTGTCTCTGTCTGTCTCTCCTCCTCCTCCTCCTCTTCTTCTTCTTCTTCTTTTCTCTCTCTCTCTCTCTCTCTCTCTCTCTCTCTCTCTCTCTCCCTCCCTCCCTCCCTCCTCTTCTTCCTCTCTCTGTCTCTCACATACACACACTCACAAGATTACATTACAGCACTTAGGTATCTGATTTGTAAAGTGAGAGTCATAGTGGTTCTGCTGGCTCTCTTTCCCTCTCTCTCTCTCCTCCCCCTTCCTTTCCTCCCTCTCTCTCTCTCCCTCCTTCCTTCCCTCCCTCTCCCTCCTCCTGCTCCTCCTCCTTCTCCTCTTCCTCGTCCTCCTCCTTCTTCTTCTTCTTCTTCTCTCTCTCTCTCTCTCTCGCACAAGACTACGGCACTCAGGTGTTTGATTTGTAAAGTGAGGGTCATAGTGGTTCTGCTGAGGAATTTTGATGTGGATGGATGGGTGCATGTAAGTGTGTACACGGGGCCCGAGCTGTTCCACGAGCTGTGTGTAGCACGCAGTTGCTATGTGCCCTCGAGTCGGAACTGACGCATAGCTGGCCCTCCAGGGGCCATGGCCTCCCTTCAGAGACTGTCACGCATGTGTATGGGAAGGAGGGTGTCTATCTTTCTCCTTCAGGGTGACTGGTGGGCTCAAACTATGTGTCTTACTTAGAATTGGCAGTGTACCTTCTTTTCTCTCTCTCTCTCAAATTTATTTTAATGGAAGTTTACAGAGACTCTGGATTTCCAGTCATTCGTTGTTGCACTGTTCTTCCTGCCCACCTCCTCCCCCCAGTTCACTCTTCTCCTGGAAAAGAAAAAGAAAAACTCTTTCATTGTTATGCAATCCCTCTCCACAACTCCACTATGTAGCCTTCGTTCTGGACTCCTGTCATGACAATATCTAATCCTATATTCCTGTTAAACAGTTCTCTCCCTCATCTGTTTCAATGCAGTATATATACATCATTTATCTGTTCTTTCTCAGTCTCCCCCTAACCCCCACGTCAGTCCTTTTTTACAACAATGGCATTATGCCGTATTTGTCTTTTTTTGTGACTGAGATATTTCACTCAGCATAATGTCCTGCAGGGTCATCCATTTTGTAGAATATTGCATGAGTTCCTTGTTTTTCAGTGCTGCATAGTATTCCATTGTGTGAATATACCACAGCTTCTCTATCCATTTGTTTGTTGATGGGCACTTGGGTTGTTTCCAACTCTTTCCTATTGTGAACAAAGCTGAAATAAACATAGGTGTGGGCCATGCACCTTCTCGGGGCAAGGCCACCCGAGCTCCCCTGTAGTTTGCCGTTGGCACCCACATCTGTGCACTGCAGGCAGAGTCAGTCGGTGCTCCCTAACTGGGTTTCACGGGGTGTGCAGTAGCTGTATCCCAAGTCTGCCTTTTCTCGACACAGATGGTCTTGAAGGCCTGCCGCCCACACAGATGTACATTCTCCTGGGGGTCCTGGGCGCCTGTCTCCTCTTTCTGCTCATTCTGGCCACCTTCCTCCTGCATCGCCAGTGTCAGAGAAAACGTGGTAGGTGTCAAGCAGCGGGACAGACGACCTGGACAGGCTGTGGGGCCTGGACAGACTGGGGGTGGGGTGCGGCTGTGACTGGAGAAGAGACTGGTGAATTCAGACCCCCTGATTGTTCTCAGGCATCCCCAGCAGACAGAACAAGGACCAGAATCAACCGGAGAGGTGAGATCACTGGGAATGAACTCTGAGCTCCCACCCAGCCCTCTATTTCCAACCCCCGACACTAATTCTCATCTTCTATTCTTTCCCTTCAGCACCAGTATTGATGTAGTCAAGAGCCCACAAGGTGAGGGAGCGAGGAGGAGGAGGGAGACGCCTCAAGAGGGGAAGTGGAGATTCACTGAGAGCGAGGGAGCAATGAATGAAGAGAGAGGGGATGTTTGGGCACATTCTAGAATGTTCTGGTTGAGCTGAAAGATGGACTCTGAAACTCGGTGATGGCAAGCAAACTGGTCTTCTAAGGATGACCCTAGAGCGAATATTCATTCTGTCTCTCCAGATCCGGCCACAGTGGGTAGAGCTCCTGCCACCAATGGGAAGATTGACACCTCAGTAAGTCTTAATATTATTACTGCTCACACTGTTGTTGTTGTTGTTGTTATGTGTCGTCGAGTCGCCTGAGACTCATAGCGACCCTATGTACAACAGCCCTAAACTCTGCTCTGTCCTGTGCCAATCACACTGTCTCTGATACTCCCATACTGATTACCCCAGTCACTGAATCAATCCACCTCATAGAGGGCCTTCCCCTCCTGCGCTGTCCCTCCCCCCTCCCAAGCATGATGTCCTTTTCCAAGGACCTGTCCCTCCTTGCAATATGCCCAGAGTATGTCAGACAAAGCCCCAGAATCCTTGCCTCCAAGGAGTTGCTTGGTTTACTCCTCTCCAGGATGAATCTGTTTGTTTTCTTGGCAGTCCATGGTACATTGAATACTCTTCTCCAGCACCACAGCTCAAAGGCATCAATTCTCCTTCTATCCTCTTTGGTCATTGTCCAACTCTCTGATGCATAACAGGTGATTGTGAAGACCATGGTCTGTATCAAACACACCTTAGTCTCCAGAGAGACACCATTGCTCTTCAGTACTGTGGAGAGGTCCCTAACAGCAGACTTTCCCATGGCAATGCGCCTTTTAATTTCCTGGCTGCTGGTGCCAAGAGTACCTTGACAAAATTGCATCTGTTTCATGGGTAATTTGGGAGTTTCTTCATTGTGTGGTTCCTGTTCCTGGTCTATCGAGTTGTTGACCAGGGCTGCATTCATCTCAGGCCTGGTCTGGAGTTGGAGGATACATTTTGAAGACAGCTGCTCCCGTGGTTCATGGCAGGAGGCCCCAGGTCCTCACCGTGTTTGCCCCTCTGTTTAGCCAACATCCCCCCTGGGATGAAGAATCCGAGGGAGGGGGTGGGGAGGAAGCCATCACATCTAACATGACCTCATCTAGGACATGGCCTGTCATCCCGTCTGCCAGATGCTATTGGTCAAATAGTAGACGGTTAGAGCTCCCATGAAGTCAGCGCTGACTCAGGGCAACTCCACCCCCAACAGATCTAGGTTATTAAGCTCCACATGGCTGTCACGGGCTGATTTTTGGAAGAGGGGCGCCAAGGCATATGCCCTAGTCTGTCTTAGTATTGGAAGCACTGCTGAAACTTGTTCAGAATCATTGCAACACTTAAGCCTCCACTGACAGATGGATATGGGCTGCACAGAAGGTGCATGGACTGGAAATTAAACCCAGGTCTGCAAAGAGCCAGTTAAGCTCTTGACTACCATCTGAAGGTCAGTGGTTCAAACTCACCAGCCACCCCGTGGGCGAAGGATGCAACAGTCTGTTTCTGCAAAGATTTGCAGCCTTGGAAACTCTACAGGGCTCTTCTACCCTTTCCTAAAGGATCATTATGAGTCTGACATTACTTGATGGTAATGGATCTCCCGTTCATTGATGGGTCTCCCATTCACTGATGGGTCTCCAGTTCATTGATGGGTCTCCCGTTCACTGATGGGTCTCCAGTTCATTGATGGGTCTCCTGTTGACTGGTGGGTCTCCTGCCCATTCATTATTGGGTCTCTTATTCATTGATGGGTC